ACCAGGTAGGTGACCAGAACTATTCAAGTGCTGTGTGCCTATTCCCTGACTTTTTACCGGTAGTTAGCAGGGATTCTTAACAAGGGTTATTCGTACCCCTTGAGGATATGGGAACCAAATAAAAATGCAGTTGTTAGATTATATTACTGGGTACACACTATAAGAAAATCAAAATTCCATACGAGGAATGATCGGTTCATTATCTGATCATTAGTATAGTGCTTTCGACAGCCGATTCTGGCTGTTCAGATGAAAAACACTGAGCTGCAAGCTAGAAAAGTTTTATGGTACATGAATACAACATCTGATTTTTGCTTAATATGTACAGTAATTATATGGTAATAATCGAAAAGAAAAAAAAACATCCATGATCAGAAGCATAGAATGACCTGGAAGAAGGTGTCAACGAACATAGAAATCTTCACAAAAAAGAACTTTTGCCTTTGTCATTCGAAAATTTTCGTACAAATTAAAATGGAGCTCCAGCCATTTTTGTGTTTATTAAAAGTCAACAGCTACAAAAACTGTAGCTGCTGACTTTTAATAAACAGACACTCATCTGTCCCAGGATCCAGCGATGTGTTCATTCGAGCTGTCCATTCCCTTCTTCTTCTGTCCCCAACACTGGCATCTCAACTGTGGGCACCCGGCTGTGACAGTTTGTTGCTTCACAGCCAGGTGTTCACTACGCATGCGTGAGATGCGCTGCGCATTATGAATGATCCTGAAGGCTTCTGGGATCTGTCACGTGTCACAGAAGACTGCGGAGAGGGGGAGGAGAACTTCTGCTTCCGATCGCCTATGTGGTCAGAGTGGAAGTACGACTGAGTACCTGTCAAAATCGGGTATCCCACCAAAAAAGTGCCATTTGGGGAAGAGGAGGGGGGGGAAAGCTCTAAAGCGGAACTTCCCCTTTTGGGTGAAGCTCCGCTTTACTACCATGCTTGGTTATATCATGGTACGCACTTGTGTGGAAAATCAGATATTCGTTGCTCTGATTTTCTGATAGTGTGTACCCCACTTACCACCATTATCAATGCAATTGAGGTGGTGGGGATGCTAACCATCAGATCACTCAACACAAATGTGTTCCCTTTTCCTATGATTGAAAGCTGTTCATTCCTTTAGGCCAGTTGTCTCCAAACTGCGGCCCTTTGTGTGCCTTTATCCAGCCCCTGGGGCACTATTCCTCTCACTGAAATTAACAATGGCACACAATTTCTCCCACTGACACCAACGTTGGGACACAATTTCTCCCACTAACACCAACAGTAGGGTACTATTGCTCCCACTGACACCAACAATGGAGCAATATTCCTCCCACTGACATCAATGATGAAACTCAGTTCATCCTACTGCCACTGACGATGGGATGCTATTCCTCTAATACCAAAAATAGGGCATTGTTCACTCCCACTGATGCCAGGACATTTTCTACTCTCACTGGCCACAGTCCATCTCCTCTAAAGCCTGAAGGACAGTAAACTGGCCCTTTGTTTAGAAGGTTTGGAGACCCCTGCTATAGGCTATCAAATGCCATGAGTGGCCAATACGGGGTATGTCTGGGATTGAATAAGGAAGATGTGTTCAATATTTACACAATAGAGTTGGGATACCTGGGCACCCTGAAGATAATCCCAGGATGAAAGCAGGTGCCTGCTCTATGGACCTAGGGTCACCTTGGATGTTAAGGCGAGCCACAAGTTCACATTCAATTGTGCTAGATTATTATTCTCTAATTAAAAATGAATCTCACTGACTGATCTGAATACAAATCATACAGGGGAAACTTGTGGACTGATGGGTATTGCTGCCATTTGTAGTTTTCTATTGTAGAGTTGTTATTTTCCCAATCCCTATACAGATCATTTCTTTAAACATGCTTCTTGGTTGATATTTACAGAGCTGTTTCTACACAGAAAGAGTTGATTGTCATTATGCAAAGCATGCGGCTCACCTGACCTGCAAGTATTTGCATAGACACAGATTTAGACAATTGCAGGCAGAGAATTTAATTTTGTTTGATTAATCAAGGTACTAGAGGTGCCCTACTTTATTTTCCTTGTTTTTGAAATGATGTCTCTCTAACATCTTTAACTCATGTTTGTATTGTTTATTAATAAGCAGACTGGTTAATCTTTAATGCAGTTTTTAATACTGTATAATTTAACATTTTTAGTGACCAGCAACAGAAAATTATAGGAAAAAATAACAAATTCATAAGCTGGGAACACTGCACAGGACACAAGCAGATAATATAGGTTTTCAGTTCTAGCAAAACTCTGCATGGTAGAACTCATGCAGGGTCTTAATTATAATATTACTAGTTCCTTTCGTTTTTTTCTATGGTCCATAATCCTACTGTGTATTTGTGTAAATAATTACACATCGTTTTTGATTCAGTTAATATAAATACCTGAATGTTCCTTGTTATCAGATTCCCAGGAGGGGCAGTACAATGAGCCAATCAGGCTCCACTTCAGTGTGCGTGGTCTGACAGGGTACATACTAACAGGAGAAATGAGTAGTGATGACTCATCAGTATGCTGCTGACCAATCCAAAATGCTGCTGACCAATCAGCAGGCTGGGGGTGTGTTCTTGACCAAACTTTGCTGTTGTTGCATTGGAGGTTGAATACCTCTCTTTGCTGTCTGGAAGGGGGTATTTAGCTGGGAGTTCGGCTTTAATACAAAAATTTGGACCCTATGCAGTTTCCTCAACATTTTAAAACCTACACATAGAACATCTTTAATCTCCTCATTAGAACTGTGTAAACCATGACCCATACAAATATGTAGATCTGGTAATCCATCTAACCTACATCTCTTCTTCATTATCAGACAGCTATGCTACGTCTTCAGGCTACAGTTTGTACGTTTCACAAGGCTGTTCACAACACAAACGCAGTCCGAATGCATTTTTGATGCATTCCAATGTGCTTTTCATGCATTTCCAGTGTATTCCATTGCTTTTTTTCCTCTCTTGTTTTTCTCCAAGATTTCCTTTTTTTTTTTTTCTGAATTGTATTCCGGTGCATTTTTAATGTATTCCAGTGTGTTCCCCTGCATTTTTGTTGTGTTTTGATGTGTTTCAATACAGTTCAGTTATAAAAAAATGCAGCATATTTAAATCTTTTTTACTGCACTGGAATGCGCTGCAAAGGTGTGAACTATGCCATTGGAACCCATATAACCTACTGCCCATGTGTTTTTGATGCAACAAAATGCACTGGACTGCTTCCGATGTGAACTGGCCATCAAGGAAAAGGCTAAGCACATGCATTCTTTCCCCTTGTAAAAATAAAAGTAATCTCCAGGTAAATTGTTACTAAACCCAGGACCCTGCATTCACCATAGCTGGTCTCCCGCAGTACACAGAACAGGGAAATGCAATTATTTTAGTAAATATAAACTGCTAAATACCTTTTCTCATCAGCAGTTAGAGCAATCTTGTGACTTCAGCAGAGCACTGGTTAAAGCTTGTAGGGGGAGTTTTCTTTCTGCTCTAGGAGGATGTGAAACCTCAGACTTTCTGTCTAGACAGTGCTGATTGGCCCTGTGCTGATGACATGCACTCTCCCAAGAAAAAAAAAAACCTCTCTAGCAATACACACCAAATCGAGCATGTGCATGTGACTAAAGATTCAGTCTGTATCAGGTGGTCATTTCAACAAGAGGAGGGGCAGAGAGAAGAAAGGATCATACAGCCTTTTTACACAATGCAGAGGAATAACCCCTTAGGTTGAGTGAGTATAACAAGCATGCTTTACTGCATATACAGACTGATTTTATTGTTGTGGGTTTAGTAACACTTTAAAGCTTCTTTTCAGCTTTGTGCAATTGTGTGGAAGAGGATAAAAACCCTTTCTATACCCTATTTAGTAGTCCTTGTATTCTGTCCTAGTGACATTGGTCATTTAGACATGAAGTGAGGGGAGATCTCTGCAGTGGTAACATGGCAAATAAGATAACTGAGTGCATGAGAAAGGGTTAGATCTTCTAATGGTTTCTTAAAGCTATCTGTATCCACGCTGGGGAAATTGGAACTATAGCCTCTCACTATGAAAAAAAAAAATAACGTATGTGCTGCACTAGTCCCCAAATACCTGTTGATCCTGCCAGTTAAAGTATAACTAAAGGCAAAACTTTTTTTTTAGTTTTGGATAGCGTGGAGAGGGATTAGAACGCCTGTCGGTTGTTGCTGTCTGTGCCCCAGTTAGGGAGATTCATCTTCTCTATTTGCTTTGTTTACCACTATCACGTGAGCTGCAGTGTCATGGAAGGGGAGTGTGTGATACATGAAAAGAAGGAGGATTTAGTTCAGATATAGAAATGTGTATAAATGGGATCAATACAAAGTGAAACTATCAGTAAAATAAATCCCTAGGGGGGCATCATCCCAATTGTGAACTGTAGAGAAACAACCGAACATCTAAAGGACTTTATATATGTTCCTCAGGAAAATTTAGTGATAAGAGAACCAAGTCAATAACAGTTAAAAACTCTTAGTTTACAAAACTATATAAAAATATCTCTCAACATTTAAAACATAGAGCAGTATCTTCCAATTTCTAATAATAACAGTATACAGTGAAAAGCCGACATTTAATATCTAACTCGGTATACGCGTTTCTTGGTGATTCCGCTTCTTCATGAACGAAACATGTGCCGACCTTCATAACAGAAACAGTGTCAATTTACCACTTGCCTACCGGGCACTTATACCCCCTTCTTTACCAGGCCAATTTTCAGCTTTCAGTGCTGTCGCATTTTGATTGACAATTGCGCGGTTATGCAAGATTGTACCCATATGAAATTTTTATAATTTTTTTTCTCACAAATAGAGCTTTCTTTTGGTGGTATTTATCATCGCTGGGTGTTTTACGTTTTGCGCTATAAACAAAAAAATTGCAAAAAAAAAAAAGTTTCCTTGTTTCTATTATAAAATTTTGCAAACAGGTAATTTTTCTCCTTCACTGATGTGAGTTGATGAGGCAGCACGGATGGGCACTGATAGGCAGCACTGATGGGCAGTGATAGGCAGCACTAATGAGGTGGCACAGATAGGCAGCACTGATAGGTGGCACTGATAGGCGGCACTGATGATGGGTACTGATAGACAGCAATGATAGGTGGCACTGACTGGCATCACTGCTGGGCACTGACTGGCGGCACTGCTAGGTATTGACTGGCAGCACTGTTAGGCATTGACTGGCGAAACTGCTGGGCACTGACTGGCACAACCGCTGGGCACTGACTGGCACAACTGCTGGGCACTGACTGGTGACACTGTTTGGCAGCACTGCTGGGCTGCACTGATGGACACTGGTGGGTGGCACTGGTGGGCCCAGGTGGGTGGCACTGCTGGGCACAGGTAGGTGACACTTCTGGATGGCACTGCTGGGCACAGGCGTGTGGTACTGCTGGGTGGCACTGGTGGGCACTGCTGGGCACAGGTGGTTGCACTGCTGGGCACAGGTGGGTGCACTGCCGGGCACAAGTGGGCGGAACTGGTGGGTGGCACTGCTGGGCACCGATCATCAGGGCACTGATCATCAGTGCCCTGATGATCGGTGCCGATCCCTGCTCTAACAACTGCCGGTTCTCAGCAGTACTTTCCTCATGATCTGACAGCGTGAGGAAAGTGCAGCCGAGAACCGGCAATCGCATTTCCCTGCGATCAGCGTGTCATTGAACACGGCTGATCACGTGGTAAAAGGCCGCTGTGATTGGCCTTTTACCACATCACATGATCAGCTGTGTCCTTAGGACACAACGATCACGGAGATCAAGTGCGTTCTGGGAGGACGTCATATGACGCCCTCCCAGAACTGGCCGGCCGCAGTGTAGCCATCATTCAGCTATCTGCGGTCGGCAACTGGTTAAAAAAAAGTGTGGAAACTTTTTGAAGAACCCTCGTATTTTAATTACTGTCCTAGGTCCCTTCATTTGAGTAAGATTTTCTTCCTCCTAAAATTGCTACAACATTCTCTAGAGAAAAGAGTTACAGGGAAGAAAAGGAGCATCAAGCTGGTTAGTGCATTCTGTATTGCATGAATAGGGAAGGTTATTATTATTATACAGGATTTATACAGCGCCAACAGTTTGCGCAGCGCTTTACAAAATGAAGGTAGACATAACAGTTACAATACAATTTGGCACAAGAGGAAACAGAGGGCCCTGCTCATTAGAGCCTACAATTTAGGAGAGATGAAAAAGTTAGTAGTTATTAGTTAGTAGTGGTTGTTACAGCATGAAACCCTTTTCTTTAGGGCACATTTATACTGCAATCCCTGTGTTTAGCGTACATGTTTACTTGCATTTTTTTTCTTTACTACAAAACTCCATACTTAGTATTTTCCCCTCGCATTTATGTAGTTCCTTTGTGAAGCGATGCATGCCTCTGTCCTTTTTTTAGAGCACTGGAACTTCACTAGGGTGATTGGAAAACATTTTACTTTGTGTGCGTTTGTGATGCGTTAAAGAATATGTGCCTGACTGCAACTTGTGTAAGCGAGCCCTTAGTCTTGTTACAGCAGTCTTCTGTGACCTCTGTCTATATGCCACTGCTGTCAAGATCAATCGCTTTATTTATAAACCCAGAATATTATTTTTTTCCTCCTTTGTCTGAATATTCTTTGAAAGGCTTTGCCATTTTTGCATTCTGTCATGTCTTTTTGGCTCCTATTTATCCTGCTATGGTCGTAGCGCTGCCCTCTCCAAGAAACTTATTGGTACACTTTCTCCTTCTGCACACTTCAATCCTCTTAACATTCCCTCTGAGAACACCAAATCCAATTCCAGGCTCAACTCCATTACATGTCTATTTTAGCTTACTGTAGTCACCAGTAACAGTTTACTATTCATACTGTGAATATGATCTGTGTTGTTGCGCTTTGCTTCCTAGTGTATTTATTTTCAGAAGATACAGGGCAATGAGGATAATAGGAAAATATTTTCTACTTTTTTAATAAGCTAAGGGTACAATAATAACAAGTTTAGCTGCTGTGATCACTAAAATTTTATTTCCCGTGTATCATAATGAGCCAATATGTGTAAAGAGACATCTTTTCACCAGAACATCATCTTGCAGCAACTTTACAAAGCAGAACAAGGAATTAGAACATCAGTCACCAAAAGGTACAAAAACAAGTGATGAACTAATGATATCTCAGTGTAATGAGAACCAGGAGATCTAAAGTCAAATCATCAACGTTTCAGTTTTTATATCAGGACTATAGGAGGAATTGAAATGCTAGGTATATGTTACATAAAAGATGTCCTTTGTTCCAAAAATGCCTCTTCAGGACAGGTTTGTGTCCTGGTTTTTGACTGTCTATTATTCCTGCTTCCTATAGTCCCCTGCGTGCATTTGTTGCGCTTCACATAATGAACACATGACATACGAAAACTACAGATCCCACTTTACCTTGTGCCCAGCAACCTTTGATGATGTAATAAAAAAGAAGTGTTCCAGTCCACAGTGTGTTTCCTGACCGACATTATCTTCAGCACCACCAAACATCTGGATCACGGGTGTCAAACTGGTGGCCCTCCAACCGTTGCCAGACTACAGACAAGTCCCTTGAGGCAATGCAAGGCTGACAGTTACAAGCATGACTCCCAATGGCAGAGGCATAATGGGACTTGTAGTTTCACACAACAGCTGGAGGACTATTGTAGTTCAAGTGAAAAGCTGCCTGCAATAGGTGACACATCTGGACATCTTGGAAGGGGATAGGAAAGTTTGTATCACAGCATTATAGGAAGTGGGTCCAGCGGGATTGTTCTATGCCTTAGTTTTGCAACTTGCAGATCATTCTGTTTAAATAATCTAAGGTGCAACAAATGGAAAGTAAATCAATTATTATATATTGGATTTTTATTTGAAAGCATAGATGCAATTTAAAGCCCAGCTCCAGGCAATTAAAAAGTTTTCCCATGCAGTTGGGCTAGGGGTGGAGAGAAAGTTCATACTTACCCGATCCTTTGTTCCGCTGGAAAAATGCGCTCCTCCCACGATCCAGAGGTGGTATGTTCCTGGTCTATAGTGCCTGCTCTGGGCTTGATGGCATCAGGAACAGTCCACCGTACAAGACCGCTAAACCTTGTGAGGGAAGTAGCCACAGGAACTGGTCTTGTGCTAGGAAAATCAGATGATTAGGCAAGTATATGTCCTTACTCCTCTCCCCTAGACAAAAGCATAGGAAAACTTTTTTTTTTTTTTGCCCAGAGATGAGCTTTAATAATAGCGACTGCATAAACAGGTAAATGTCTGTTCCTCTCTATGAGCTAGGGTCAGATAAGCTCTTACAGAATGGTGCCATTAAGCTGGTGGACTTCTGGGGTCTTGCCACTCAATACTGACAGAACTAAACAAGTAGACTTATTGAATAAGGCAAAGAATAATGTGGACAATCTGAATTTGTTTTTCACTGGTATAACTGGAAAAAAACACATTTTCTTGGTTGCTCTGGGTTGTAGAACTTTGCGGTTTATCTTTGCTCTCTACGGTGCTTTATCAAATAAACCTTGATTACAAATGACACTGCCAGGCCCTACAATGTGAAATCAGAAGTGAGAGACTTAACTTCAGGTAACACAAAAAACTATGCATGATTATACAACAAACAGCCATAAGAGGGCCCACCACTCCTGCACTGTTTTTGACATCATGAGTAAGTTTATACCATCCTTCTTTTATCTCTATGATCAACGGAGGTTGGCACAGGGCACACCACGACAGTTCAAATGTGCAAATTTCCTAAGGGAAAGTTCACACTGGTGGCAGAATTTGCCAATTCACCACCCCCTCTGAAAACTAATCCGTGGTGGATCGCATTTCAAGTGGTGGTTTGCGCGGATGTTTAGGAAGCAATAGTGCCACCTCCTGAATGCTTTTTTTTTTTTTTACTTTGAATTACAGTTTACTTCAATAAGTGCAGATGGCAAGCAGAATGCCTGTCAAATGCACCTTATCAAGTTAAAGTTGCTTAAGAGTCCGCCATGTATGTTTGTGCTTAGGAAGATAGGGGGGGTGGTAAAAAGTTAAGCTGAAAATGTTCTGTTTACATGTGTATACACTATTTTTTATTCAGACTGGCAAAGTATTAACACAGTCTTTTTTGAAAAATGTCTGGATAGATATTGGAACAGGTATTGGTACAAGCTCTGCAGGAGTTAAAGGTACTTTGTATTTCTATTACAGAAATTTATGAAGTGTGTGTCCTGTAACAGGAGGATGACATATATTATACCTTCTGCACAAACTGTTTTGATTGCTGCCTAAATTAGCATGCTGTGAGCTGAGGAGGCCAATACACACAGTGAGGCATGCATCTAATTTTGTATTGCAAACTCGGAGCTTGATACCTGCTATTTCATGCTTCTTCTCTAAGCTGATTCAGCAGCCTAAATCCTTCTTGTTTACAAATGGAAGAAAAGTACTGTTTGTATTAAGGAGACTTTGATACATAGGGGCAACAGGTGCCTTGGATGCCAAAACTGTCTTTTTAGAAGAGGGTCACACAGGTCCCTTAGGTCACATTTAGCAGCAGATGAGTCATGAGTGACTTGTACTACTTTCTCCGCCTAATACAAGGGTGATGAAGCCTTGTACATTCCAATTTTTTCTGTGGTTCTCCTCTGGCTAGGAGGCTATGGAATTGATTTGCTAAAACTGGAGACTGCAAAATCTGATACAGCTCTGCGTAGAAGCCAAACATGTTAGAATTTTATTGGCTACCATGCACAGCTGCACCAGATTTTGTGTGCTCCAGTTTCAGTAAATCAACCCCTATGTGTTTGAATACCTGGAGAAGAGAAAGTTGGAATAAAAGGCAGAAGCTCCAGTTATATAGCTAAACTCCAGGGAAGGAAAAAAAACCTCTATTGCTGTGGGTCTGCTTCCACACTGCAGGGGCTAAATGATCATGTAAGCACTTTATTTACCTACTCCGCTTCCACAGGCTCCCTCCAGGCTGTATGACTGGTGCCTATGGCTTCTTCTCCCCTGTGCTCTAGTGGCTGGATCCCCTCTGAAGTCATGACATCACGTCGTACTAGACATGAGGATGTCGAGGGTCAGTCTACTGCTGGAGCTTAGCGTAGAAGAGGAGAGCCACCATGGGAGTGGAGGATCAGGTAGGTCAAACTGCTTATCTCCCAGGCCCTTAGACCTAAATGAGCTTGCAATGTGAGGACAGCCCCACTCCATTTTTCTTTTTCTGAAGATGGCTTTAACTTGTATTTCTATTACTTATTGAGGGACACTGTTCATTAAGGAAACCAGTGGGAGCAATATAAACCCACAGATTTTCAGTATAAAAGTTCATGTTCAATGAACTTGGAGGGGGAATGACAGTGAGTACAGAAGATTCAACATTTATCCATGATTCACTGTGGAGGGGAAATGACAGTGAGTACAGAAGATTTTTATCCATGATTCACTGTGGAGGGGGAATGACAGTGAGTACAGAAGATTCAATGTTTATCCATGATTCACTGTGGTAGACAGCTCATTCAGTGAATCAGTGGGTTTATACCACTATACTTGGTTATCTGAATGAG